CGTAACTTTGCAGGGGATGGTCAGAGGCAAATAAGAAAAAACACGTCATTAATATTTTTAAACGTACTATAACGACACATAATATCGCCAAAATCGACAGGGTAGTTTTTAAAATATTCCAAAAAACTAGGGGTAGTTTACCCCCTGAAGCCCTCAGATATATGTGTGATATATCAATGGAAAGCTCTTTGAAAATGAATATCAGTTTACATTTACCACATTTCGATAGCTATTTTCGTTTTCAGCCTATAAGCGAATATATATATTTCGTCCCGATTTGCAACCCTTATAACTCGCCCCAGGGGCTTTATTAGCACGTATAAAAAAATAGGTAAACCTTATTTTTGGCCATACTATCGCTGTACCAAATTTCAACAAAATCGGTGAGGGACAGTTCTGATACTTCCCTTGTAAGTAATAAATTTTCTCTTTTTTAGGCGGGCAGAATGTTTAATCTCGATTAAACAATATTTTATTCAATTTTTCTTTTAATTTTTTTTACTTCTTTTAATAAGGTCAGCAGACAAATTACCAAACGTCGCTGACCAAACGCATCGCTCGCACTGCATAATTGCGTCACGCACACCGCGCGCAATTATGCGACCTAAATTAATTAGTTTTTTAATCGCTTATTAATTGTTAAGTTAGCATTAAGATTTGTATATAAACCCCAAATTTTTAATTAATAAACAGTATTATTGATATCTTCGTAATGCTCATTTCCTTCCTGGATTAAACGTCTGGCCTGCCCGGAGTTTAATCCGTTCCAAAATAAATATCTGGCTTGCCCGGAGTTTATTTTTTCCCAAACATTTTCAAATATCTGGCCTGCCCGGAGTTTGAAGAGTCGGATTGGCTGATGACGATCACGTGACGCCAGTGCGTTGGGGGTAAATCTCCGTTTCTCCAAATACCCGAAAGTTGGTTGAAGTTTATGTTTTGGAGGTAAAATGTATTTTGCGCATGCGTAATAACTGCTAAAAATTTGGCGGGATACCGCCAGAGTACGCCAGAGTCATATCTGGTTGTTTTGTGACATAACCTTTAGCTAACCACGCGGTAGTAAATGTTTAAGTAAACAATAATGAATAGCAAATGTATAATTTCAACCACAGTGTGTTGTGACCTTTGAAGGAACTGATGCACCTGTGGTGGAAGAAGGAATGCTTTTATTGTATAACAAGCAAGGTAAGCGAAACCGAAAATTATGTTTGTCTTATAAAATAAAATTTAATTTTTATTCCAGCAAACTGTGTTATCCGAGTACCATTAAGCAAATCTATAAAAGATATGTTTAAGTTAGTGGAAACCAATGCTGGTATAAACATAAAAGATTTAGAAGAAAACAATGAAAACAAACGCGAGGATGATGCAGTTATAGAAAGTGCATACGCACCGCTACTGCAGCAAACATCAACCGATTCAACTGCACAAGAAACAGAGGAAACGTTGACGGAGCTTTTAATAGCAGAATATGCAAAGAGGCCAGATCTTTACAATGAGAGAGTTCCTCTCGTAAACAGATCGAGAAATGTAAAAAAAAGTTAGAGTTGGAAGTGTATCATGCTTTAAATGGTAAAGCTCCATAAAATTAATAACTGAATACATAACAAATATTAAAATTTCAGGACAGTTGGAGGAGGTAACTAGGAAATGGATGTACCTAAGAAAGGACTATAAGAGACAGAAAAGCATTTTACACCGCTACATAAAAAGTGGTTGCAGCTACGAGGAAGCTGCCAAAATAATAGGAAAAACTTTATGGGTACATTTCAATGCTTTAAAATTTATAGACGATCATGATAATGATAGGTAATAAGATCATTTCTAAAAATATGTGTTTATATTTCTATTTTTCTTGTTTTATATATTTCTAAATATTATTATACTTGGATTATATTGATATTCTTTTAGAACAACTGTCTCTAACGTGGAGGAATCGCTATCGAGGAGTTCAACATCCAGTACCGGTGAATCTGTGTCTGCTTCCTCACCACCTCTAACACCCGGTAATAGTGGACCATGTTTGAACACCCCATCACGAAAAGGTAAATATACTACGATATGCTATAAACATAATTTCAAGCGTTATTTTTAAGGAAAACGTAACATAAGTGAGAACACAACAGCACTGGACGAATTAATTATGCATGAGGTGGAAAAAGGCCAAATGGACAGCAGCGACTATTTTTGTAAGATGTTAAGTTTGGAGATGGAGAAATTAAATCCTCATCAAAATCATCGTCTGAGCGATGGAACCGTGGACGAGGCTGCCACTTATTTTTACGAAGTGCTATCTGACGCTTTTAAACTTTTCGTACCGCGCAAACGAGTCTTCGTACTCGGTTTTCCGTACTGGTTCTCAAAAGATACTATAAAAGTAATTCGTGAAAAACGTAAGATGCACAAGAAGTGGAAGCGGTATAGAAATCGCCTCGACTATTTAACTTTTTCCCTTTTAAGGGGTCGCTCAAAGTTCCTTATCGATCGTGATTATCGCAATTTTATTGTCAGTGCGGAGAGCAGTATACGGCATGATCCCAAAAGGTTTTGGTCATTTGTTAGAGCTAAGCGCGCGACAAGTGACTTGCCTGCAGAGGTTGCGTTTGACGGTGTCACTGCTACCGATGGTGCACATATCTGCGACCTTTTTTCTCGTTACTTCGGCTCAGTATTTAATGCTTCGCGGACCTCGAGCACCAGCAATGGCTCCCGTTGTGGTAGCCCACGTTTTTGCGACCTGTCTCTACAATTTGAGCAGGTTGAGATCTTGAAAGCTCTTAGAGCCGTTAACCCTTCCGGAGGGCCAGGTGGTGACGGTATACCTCCTATTATAATAAAAAATTGATGTGAATCTCTTAGTGAACCGTTATCAATCCTGTTCAATAGATCTCTGAAAGACTGTGTCTTTCCGCTAGTCTGGAAGCGG